AGTGACTAATGGGCCATAAAACCAAAAACCAAACCCAGTGCCATCGAGTCGACTCCAACTCATAGTGACCCTGTATGACAGAGTAGTACTGCCCCGTAGGGTTTCCAAAGCTGTAACTTTTTTTTTTTTAAAATATAATAGTTTTAATGAGATACAATTCATGTACCATACAATTCATTCATTTAAAGTGTGTAATACAATGGTTTGTAGTTTGCTCACAGGGTTATGCAACCATCACCACAATCGATTTTAGAACATTTACATCACCTCAAAAAGAAACCCATACCTTTTAGCCACCATGCCCTCTCAATATCCCTTTCCCTTAGCCCTAGGCAACCACAAATCTAGATTCTATCTCCATATAGCAAGACTGTAAATCTTTATGGAAATAGACTACCACATCTTTCTCCTGCTCCACTGGTGGGTTTGAATCGCCAATCTTTCAATTAGCAGCTGAGTGCTTAACCACTGTACCACCATGACTCCTAATGGGCCATATATTAATAAATTAATGAAAGCAAGAGTTTAAGTAGTTGGGAAGACAGTGACTCTGTGGCAAGAATTGACAAAAGAAATTCAGGATCTGTACCCAAGTGGAAACTTCCTGAGAGTCAGCATGGCTAATCAAACAGGATGCAATGAGTTTTAGTCATCTGTTTTAAGGAGTACAGTCACATTGCTCAAAAAATTCAATCTCAAAATAGTCTACAATTGCCCAAATATTTTTAAAAGTACTACCTGAGCAAAACTAACATTTTACCATGGAGCATCCCATAGGTTTATAATGGATAATCTACATCTTGGATGAAATATTTCTTTGCTAAAACTTATCAAATGTGCCAATAATTATCATATCCCATATTAATGAAGATGGGGTGAGGGGAAGCTGTATTTGAAACTAACTTATTCAGCAGAAGTCTTTAACTGTATTTTTGAACTAAGACCCAGATATTTGTTTATCTGGATCTCATTATTAGCATTGCTTACATATTAGAAGACATTAACTGAGAAAACACTAAGGTGATTTCACAATTTCTTCGGAATTCAGGATTCCCAGCTTGCAAACTGAGCCACAACAGCATTCTTTATGAACAGCTGGTTAAAAACAAAGTGAAAAGACAACCTACAGATTACAAGAAATTTTTAGAGAACCATATATCAGATAAGGGCCTAATATCCAAACTATATCTAAAACTTAACAACAAAAAGACAAACAACCCAGTAAAAAAAGGAGGGCAAAGGACTTGATTACATAGTTCACCAAACATGACAGTCAAATGGCTAACAAGCACATGGAAAGATGTTTAACATCATTAGTCATTAAACCAAAACCCCAAGACCACTGCCATCAAGTCGATTCCAGCTCATAGAGATCCTATAGGGAGGTGAAAATCAAAATCACAATGAGCTATTACCTCACCTCCATTAGAATGGCAATAATCAAAAAACCGGAAACAACAGGTGTTGGTGAGGCTGTGAAGAAACTGGAACCCTCATCCATAGATGGTGGGAATAGAAAATAGTACAGCCACTATGGAAAACAGTTTGTCAGTTCCTCAAAAAGTACACAGAACTACCATATGACACAGCAATCCCCATTCTCGGTATATAGCCAGAAGAAGTCAACGCAAATAGAAACTTGTACATGAATGTTCACTGCAGCACTTTTCACAATAGCCAAAAGGTTGAAACAACCAAAATGTTCATCAACAGATGAATATAGGATAAATAAAATTTGGTATATACATACAACAGAATATTATGCAACCATTCAGAGAAATGAAGTCCTGATGCATGCCACAACCTGGATGAACTTTGAAAACATTAGGCTAAATAAAATAAGTCAGTTGCAAAGGACAAAATACTGTATGATCTCACTTATATAAAATAAAGTAAATATATAGAAACTAAAAATTATTATTACTAGGGGTGGGAGGCAGGGAGAAAGGGGAAGTTTTTGTCGTGAGTATTGAGTTTATGTTAATGGTGGTAGGAAATTTTAGAAAAGGATAGTGATAAGGATGGCACAACATGAAAAATGTAATTAATGTCACTGAATTGTAAATGTGGAAGCTATTGTATAGGCGAATGTTTTGGTGTATGTGTTTTCACTACAGTAAAAAAAAGTGGCCTAATAAGCTTAAATAGAATTATTTCTCAATAGTTCACTTATTTTCTAGTGTACACTGACTTTATCAGAAATCCACTTTAACAAAACTCACTTTATTTTTCCCTATGAAAGTAACAATTAAGGTACATTTAATCGATGCATGCAACAATCTACCCTCTATCAAGAAGTCTCTCAATCATAAAAGTATACACAGGGGATTATTGTAAAGGTTTGTTGTAACTTAAAGTTCACTCTGACTACATAAGTCTCAACTCTATTTTGAATTTTCAGCTTTTTCTGCCAAACTAGTAGTAAATGTATATTCTACTGCTAGAAATTATTGCAATATTAGATTATAATATTCATTAATGGAAATATCCTAAAAAGAAATGCTTAAGACTACCTAATAACAAATATTTTGAAATAAGTTGAATATCAGCTTTCTTTTATAAGATTATTTTCTAATTTACCTGGAAAAATCCGGCTAGCAGGTTTTAGAATGTAAGAAATGAATACTACATTTAGACTTTCTTGTTTTATATATTTAAATAAGTCCTATACTTTTTGTAAGAAAAAATGGTACTAAAAAGTTTAAATATAACTTTTCATGTTTATAGAACATATATAATTATGGTAAAAGGATTTTTACCAGTAATTATTGAAGACATTTTTAGCCTCAAAATACAGGCTTCTCATTCTCACTTTTCTCCTTACTTAAACTAGGTTATAGTTGACTTTTCTGCTTAGGTAACAGCAAATTTCATAAGTAAGGAAAGGTTTCTCAGTGATCTATGTCTGTTTCAAAATAACATAGTTAAGTCTCTCTAAGAGCAAAGACCAAAATTTCTTTGCTCTCAGAGACCTAACTATGTTATTTTCCCTGGAAAGGTCTTATATTGCTCAGATCACAGTTATATTAAAAAATCATATCTGTCACATCATATTCTATAGGGTCACTATGAGTCGGAATCCACTTGATGACAATGGGTTCATTTTTTTTTTATATTATATATGAAATCTTAAACAGCTAAAATACATAATTTATTTACTTTTATTTGCATTAAGACAATAGAATTATGTGATATAACACTGAATATTTTCCTCATGATTCCATGTATTATAACCTAAATAAAAAATTAAAATCAAGTTCTACTTGGCAAATTTGTGTTCTGAAATTTAGCTTTCAGAATTGAAAGCTTTTCCAAAAGACTTTATAGCATAGGTAAAAAAAAAGATAGTCATTCTGGTGTCACAAGATATTATCTGTTTTGTGTTAAATACAAACATCCATGCCACTGTTCATGTACATCATTTTCTTGTAACTGCTGTTTTAGTTCTTTATCCTCCTACATTCCAGGCAGTTTACTACTACTACAATAGGTCTTACTTTAAAGAAAAAAATCAACAAAACCTACCACAACTGCATGTGGCCTAAACATTAGACTAGTAGGCAAGATGGTACAAGCACTGAACGGAAAAGGGGCTTGTGATAGTACCATATTCAATGTAACTTTTATATTTGCTCTCGGTGCTTCCAGCTTAGATGGGAGTACCCTTTGATGTCTATTTAACCCATGGTGATGACAGATGGAAGAATCACGGGGCCACATAAGCCTGTTCTCTTCTTCAAACTTCATTTTTTCTCTTCCACTATGAATATTCCAGATTCTTAAATGTACAACTTTGTGTTTCAACATTTCTAAATTGTTATGGAGGAAGATGGCTAAAGACTTCAGAAGAAACAATATTCTTTTTAAATATTTTTATGCTTACTTTAAACTCATTCTTAGGATAAAACAATTTTAATTTACTTTTAAGTCATTAACTAATCAGATAGCATAACTGTAATAAAGACTAAAATACAAAGAATCTTAAATATAAATGTGCAATTTCAGAACATACAAATGCATGTAGCATGATTTCGAGATCAGTATACTATCTAAGCACTAGTTTTTCTGTGAAAAGAGATAATCTGACATCTAAGGTAATCTAATTATTCTTCGGAATAGCATGCAATTACAGAGACTAACATTTGTAGTCTTTGAGTGTTCATTATATCTAGAGAGACATGAAAACGAAAGGTGGTCCTGTCCTGGACACTAATATAATCAAAGCAAGTAATAAAACTTATTGGAATAATTCAATTTTTATTGTCTTCATAGCTTCTTTCAAGGAAAACATCCTTAAAAATGTATAAACTGGGAAAGGAGAATGAAGAACACCATGAACACAACGAAAGTATTAGCCCAAGAGATAGAAAGAGCCACATAAACCAGAGACTTCATCAGCCTGAGACTAGAAAAACTAGATGGTACCTGCCTACCACAATGACTGCCCTGACAGGGAACACAACAGACAGTCCCTGATGGGGCAGGAGAAAAGTGGGGTGCAGAACTCTAGTAAAAGCTCCGGACTTCATGGTTTGATTGAGACTGGAGGGACCCTGGAAGACATGGCCCCCCGACTCTGTTAGCCCAAAACTAAAACCATTCCCAAGGCCAACTCTTCAGACAAAGATTAGACTGGACTATCGGACATAAAATGATACTCGTGAAGAGTGTGCTTCTTAGCTCAAGTAGATACATGAGACTAAATGGGCAGCTCCTGCCCAGAGGTGAGATGAGAAGGCAGACAGGGTCAGGAACTGGTTGAATGGACACGGGAAATCCGGGGTGGAAAGGAAGAGTGTGCTGTCACAGTACAGGGAGAGCAACTAGGGTCACAAAACAATGTATATATAAATTTTTGTATGAGAGACTAACTTGAATTGTATACTTTCACTTAAAGCACAACAATACAAAAAAAAAACGTATAAACTGAAGAGCCTAAGCAATCAGGAAATTCAAGAGCAAGAGTAAATTCATTTTTGTGGTGTAAAAAAAGTACTTACCTTTGTGGAATATAGAACATATGTTGAGGAGATGGTTTATAGAGGACTCCTTCATACACAGGCCACAGTCCACTTAAAATTCTAAAAAGAGAACTTTTCCCACAACCATTGGGACCAGTTATTAAAAGATGCATTCCTTCTTGTACCTAAAGTAAGAAATAAAATTATAAACTGCAATATTTAAGAATTATTTTGTCAGCATTTAAAAGTGATTTGTTAAAAAAAACTGTCAAACGTGATAATCTAGGATGGGCAAGGAATCAAAGAAAAATATATTAGGGTTAAGAACACCAAGTTTCGCTTTTGGCTATGCTCAGAAGCTAAATACATAAAATATTTTAATTCAAAAGAAAATTGATTTCCTTAGAATAAGTACTGGTTTTCCAAAATTATAACTGAAGTCTTATTATCAGATACTTTATACATATTAAGAAATATAAATACGTGGGAAATAAGACAAACCATAAAATTTTAAATTAAAATACATTAAATCTTACGTTACTTATGTTAATATTTGATTAAATTTATACTGAATTCAAATACAATTTAAGTAAATTGAAGTTACCGGCTACAAAGCACAGGAATCCTAAGAGTCAGCCAGATTGTATAGTTTTGTATTTTAGCAGTCTAAAATGCTACAGAAATTACAAAAGCCCATAATCAGAGAGATAAAAACAAAAAACCAAACCCGTTGCCGCTGAGTCGATTCCAACTCAAAGACAGATTCTAATTCTGCATTATTCACAGATGGAGAAAATACATCCAAAAACCAAGACAGGAAAGCAAGAGGATTGTAATTCAGTTTTATGGCTAGGGATGAATTAAAACACATATATATTTATTAAAAAGAAACTAAGGTTATTTACCCATTATCTATTAAATGCTTCTCTTTAGAATCTTCTGCCTATCTTTTAAACAGATAAATTTATGAGTTCTCATTCCAACTCAATAAAATTGAGCTGCTATTACGGTATCTCCAGTGTACCATGAAGAACAATAACTGGGAACACCATTAAAAAATCTGAACTACTCCCACTGATATCAAACAATATTTTATAATCAGTCACATAAAAAATTAATATAATGTGAAAGTACAGGAAGCAGAAATCTACAGGATGTCTGTAGGTATAGCTTTGAACAGTGGGAATACAAATATTCAAGTATTGAAGATGTTGAATACATCATACTGAAAACTTTATATTATTAGCATTTTATCACTATAAAGATACCAGCTCCACATCTACCCTTCATGACTCTTGTGCTGTGTACAACATGAGCTCAAATTCTTTTGTAGGAAAAAGAGAGGAAGGCAGGAAGGGATGGAAGAAAGAAGAAAGGAGGGGTGGGATGGAAGTTAGGTAAGAGAATTTGGAATGTATATAATAAGCATTTGTAAAGGGAAAATATGGTTCAAATCAACATTCTGTCTAAATATTAGACATTTCCTCAGCAAACATTGATTGAATACCTATCATGTGTCTGACACTTTTCTAACCACTGGGGATTCAATGCTGCCCAAGACAAGGACCCTATTTGCATGGAAATTACATTCCAGTGGAAGAGACAGCAATAAACACATGAACAAAAATTAGGTAATGATAAATGCTATTATTGTAACAGCAAAACAGGAAGATATGTTAGGGAAAGTGGATGGCATTAGGAGGTTGTGGGGCTTCCTTAGATTTTGTGGTTACAAAAGTCTTCTTTGAGTAGGTGGCATTTCAGCTAAGACCTGAGTGACAAGAAGCAGCCTGTAAAGATCTGGGGAAGAGAATTCCAAGTAGGGATGACAGTTGTCTCAAAGAACGTAAGACAAGAGCAAACTTCAGTCTATAAAATCTGACCATAGATACTTTTTTTCTTCCCAAAAGTAGCCAAACTGAAATTCTACTTTGAGAGAACAAAGTTAAAAGAAAATCCTGGGAAGAACCTAGAAAGGGCTAATTTTATGATTTGCTTGTGTTCTTTCACTATAGAGAGGATTCCACTACTAACTCGTTTTGCCTTTGAGTCCATTCCGACTCATAGCAACCCTACAGGACAGAGTAGACATGTCCCACAGGGTTTCCAAGCCTGTAAATCTTTACGAAAGCAGACTTCCGCATCTTCTCCTGCAGGGTGGCTGGTGGGTTCAAATAGCTGACCTTTTGGTTAACAGCCGAGTGCTTAACCACTGCATCATCAGGGCCCCTTATAAAGAGGATTAAACCAAAAAACTCACTGCCTTTGAGTTGATTCAATTCCGACTCACAGTGACACTATAGGACAGGGAAGAACTGTCCCATAGGGTTTACAAGGAGCAGCTGGTGTATTCAAACTGCTGACCTTTTGGTTAGAAGCCAGTGTCTTAACCAGTGCACCACCAGGGCTCAATAGAAAGGATTAGGAAGTTTTATTTAGTAGAGGCATAAATACAATTTTTTTTTCTTAATTCCAAAGGGCTAACAAAAGAATGAGAATCTTTTCCTCTAAAAACCTGTTTTCAATCAATGTAGACGAAACAGAAATTTCTATTACATCTTGGGGAGCTAAGAATTTAAATGTAAATCCCTACGTTATTAAAAAGCATGTACTATAACAACACGTATATTTGTAGAACTACAAAATTTATGAGACATTTTCACTAGATTAAGTATTATTTTATTAATTTTATATAAAAGAAACTGAGCTCTGAATGGGTAATAAACGGTGTGATGCGTCTACAATAATGTAGCTAAGTAGGTTGCAGAATGCAAGATTCTATTTAATAAATGGAACAAGAATTAATTTTGACAAAAAAACCTGACACAAAAACTCTACAAAAAGCTCAACTTGACAAAAAAACTCTACAAGAAGCCATAAATTACAAGCTAGCCTATTAATAAATAATTAAATGTTACATATAGGCTTCTTAAATTTAGTTTATTTGTATCTACCAAGATTATGGTGCATTGCTAACACCTAATTGGCACTCATATTCAGATCCTAAGAATCAAATCACCATCTAAGATCTATATATTAGTTCTATACGTCTATAAATGAAAAAAAAAAAAAGCCTGATCAATTGAAATTAAAACACAATTTCTCTTAAATTTATTAACACAGGATTCCCCCTGCTCAGTGCTTCTCATCTTCTTTTATTTTCCAGCACCCTTAGTCCTTTGCAAATACATTTTAATGATTATGGACTAAGTTCCACACTAAAATCATCAGGACATACATTGTCAGGTGTGGAATTCTATTATCAAGTCCACTCATGTCTTTGAACTAAGCTCAACTGCCTTCATTACACTCATTAATGCTTGTCAGCAAATTATTTTGTGTTTGAATTCTAAAATGTTTGAATTTCACAATGCTTTAAATCAGGGCCTCAGGTTTATTAGATAGTTTCACATCTTAGTTTTTGTAATCAAGACATAGAATATTAAATATAAATGACTTTTATTCTAAACAGAATTAAAAACTAAATTCCAATTCATGAATCTTCTGATTATTTTTTCCTAATATTAGATGTTGCTGTTAGGTATCATCGAGTTGGTTCCAACTCATAGCGACCCTACATACAGCAGAAGGAAACACTGCCTGGTACTGTGCCATCTTTACAATCGTTGTTATGTTTGAATCCACTGCTGCAGCCACTGTGTCAATCCATCTCATTGAGATTCTTCCCCTTTTTCACCGACCCTCTACTTTACCAAGCATGATGTCCTTCTCTAGAGTTTGGTCCCTCCTGATAACATGTCCGAAGTATGTGAGACATAGTCTCACCATCCTCAGTTCGAAGGAGCATTCTGGTTGTACTTCTTCCAAGACAGATTTGTTCATTCTTCTGGCAGTCCATGGTATAGTCAATACTCTTTGCCAACACCATAATTCAAAGGCATCAATTCTTCCTCAGTCTCCAACTTTCACATGCATATGAGGCGACTGAAAATATCGTTGCTTGGGTCAGGCACACCTTAGTCGTCCAAGTGACATCTTTGCTTTTTAAAAATTTAGTAAAGAGGTCTTTTGTAGCAGGTTTGCCGAATGCAATACATAATCTGATTTCCTGACTGCTGCTCCCATGGGTGTTGATTGTGAATTCAAGTAAACTGAAATCCTTGACAATTTCAATATTTTCTCTATTTATCATGATGTTGTTTATTGGTCCAGTTGTGAGGATTTCTGTATTCTTTATGTTGAGGTATAATCTACAGTGGAGGCTAGAGTCTCTGATCTTCATCAGTAAGTACTTCAAGTCCTTTCCACTTTCAACAAGCAAGGTTGTGTCATCTGCATATCACAGGTTGTTAATGAGTCTTCTTCCAATCCGGATGCTTTGTTCTTCTTCATATAGTCCAGCTTCTCAGATTATTTGCTCAGCATACAGACAGAATAAGTATGATGAAAGGATACAACCCTGATGCACACCTTTCCTGATTTTAAATCACTCAGTATTCTCTTGTTCTGACTGAAAAACTGCCTCTTGGTCTATATACAGGTTCCTCATGAGCACTTAATTGTGTTCTGGAATTCTCATTCTTTGCAACGTTATCCATAATTTGCTATGACCCACACAGGCAAATGCCTTTGCAGAGCCAATAAAACACAGATAAACATCTTTCTGATATTCTCTGCTTTTAGAAAAGATCCACCTGACATCAACAATGATATCCCTCATTCCACGTCCTCTTCTATACACAGAGTGAAATTTCTGGAAGTTCCCTGTCGATATACTGTGACGACCACTTTTGAATGATCTTCAGCAAAATTTTATTTGTGTGTGATATATTAATATTACATGATTATTTAAAATGTATATTAAAGTTAGAGAATGTGTATTAATAGAAGTAAATTTGCTAATGACCTCTACCCTCATATTTTAGTAAATATACTACACTAGGCTTGTATATTTTGAATAATTCCTATAAGGAAAAATATTAATGAAATTTATTTCCAGATATTAATTTCTGAGGAAATTTCCTATTTTCTCAAAAGTTACCTTGCATAGGCTCTCAGTGCACTCACTGTAACTCTGATTTTCAACCTGGTAATAAAGTAGTAGAAATCAAATTTCTCTTTCTCTTTGCTTTCTGAGGAAGTAACTGCCTCTATAATTGAGCCACCGTGCATACCTTTCTTGATTTCCCCTCCTTTCCATATGCTCTTCCAAGTATTTAATATAAGGTATATGAATTCTGAGTTGTTTTGTATTAGTGTGATGGCAACAATCAGAAGATTCTTGAATATCATCTTACTTTGAAGTTTAGCTTGGAAGCCACCACTTCTCCCGTTGGTGTAATTATAGGAACATTTTCACAAACAATTCCATGATCCACATCAATAACTTTTCCTACAAGTTAAGAAATAGTTAAAGTTATAACAGCTATCACATATTATTGTTAATTAAACATCTTAAAATACAATACAATGTAGCATAACAGATGAATTCATTATGCACATGAGTTCACAGTAATGAATCACAGAAACAAATGTAAATACAGATATCTATATCTGAAGCAAACTTTAATATAATTTGGACATTGTGACATATCTACTTGGAAAATCTTTCACGGAAACACTATTTTATAATAACATAATGTCAACAACATAATGAGAGTAAAGCTAAACTTTACCTGATGCAATTCAGTATTCTTTTTACAACTACTTCGCTAAATCAACCTTTCCTACAGAAAAAACATAGTGCTTCAAAAAAAAAAGAATTAAAACTTAGAACAACAGTATTTTTTAAAATGTGATAACCAAACTTATGTTTCAAAATACAGGATATGAAGAACAAGATGGCATTAGGTCTATTTGTTAGTCAGTTTTTAAAAGCAAACAATTCATCTGCCATATGTGCAGTCTCCAAAAATAATGCTAGAAACTTTACCCTAAATAAAAGTAACATATATTTTTATTTTATGATTCTGCTGATAAAATAAACACTTAAATATAGGATAAATAAAAAACACTTGAGTTTAATACCTTTGATTGGCAAGGTGTCACTGAGGGGTACTTCTATGTTAGCTCCATTCTTATTGTGGTTTTTTGGCTCTTGAATGACAACGGTTCTCTTATAAATGCCTCTTTTCACTTCATCAAAGACCGAAAACATATTGTACACTCGAGCAGTATAGCCTGCTAATTCAGTGATCTAAAAAAAACACAGAGAAACAGACTTTTACCCAAGACAGACTATTAAACAAATCTATAATCATGTAAGTTTCATTATTTGACTTTAAGGATCCTATTTTATTTTTCTTGAGAAACAGATACGACATCTGATAACAAAACAAGATAGTAAAAAGCTTACCAAAGGAGCAATATAGCACAATGTCAATGTAGGTTTGATTAAAATTATAAAAAACATAAAAAAATTATTCACTCAAGTCAGAGTTCAAAATAAAATGTAAAGATATCAGAATATTAGTGAGACTTAAGGATCTTTCAGTTAAATTTCTGATTTTGTACCTGTTTACATGAGAAATTTTATTGCCAGACAATTAAAATTTTTGTGAAAGCTTAAGTTCATTCAATGAAGAAATGAACTTTAATATTTGGTAACTTTTTTCTATTTCATAAAAGTACATATTTTTCTTATTGTGAAATGAGTGTTCTGGGCCAAACTGATTGTCAAAATTTCTATGTTTGGCCAGAGAAAACTATTCCTGTTAGAGAATTCTGTATCGAGAGTGAGCTCAGTGAAAAGCTTCACATCCTTTTCAGTTCAAATCCCACAATTCAGCTTCTTTTCAAGTCAAACATGATTTCTGTGCCCAAAGAAAACATGAAATATGTTATTTTTTCCTAGATAAGATTATAAGATAAAATGAGATAAAGTTCTGCTTTAGTACATAAGGCTCAACAGAAGGGTGACTTGCTCCTATCCTGCCAGCTGTCCAGTTGGGGCTGAGTCTCCTACTGTTTTTTTATTAAAAAAAACACCTTTTTATTAGGAGACTGTGAAAGGTGACTCATCTATCAAGACTAGCCTTCTAAGTGAAAAGGAAAGCACAAAGACAACTCCCTCTGAAAAATATTTACTAGGAAACTGGTACCAATAAGCAAGGCATGCTACTAATAAATATGTCTTAATTAATAAAGTGTAGAATAATACAACAATGCTGGCATTTGTGTAAGATTTTCATGTGTGCAAACATATGCAGTAAATGGTAGGTATTATTTTTTAAAGCCTTCTGTAACATGTCTTTACCTAGTGAGAGGTCTGTAATTACGCTAGTATTTCATTTCTTTATGTTATTGTTATGGCCATTTAAAGGCTAATTTCTAAAATGTTATCTAGAAGAACTTCTTGAGTTCCCAAGGAGTGGAGAATATAGCTGAGACTTAACAAAATCCAGGTTCAATAGAAACCTGGGTAAATATAAATATATTTGGATAGGAAAAAGAAACTACACATTCCAAAACCAAAAGTAGAGGTCAAATAAAGAAAGTCAGTAGGTAATGAGTTAGTGGAACAAGACTAGGGGGCGGGTAGGGAAGGAGTGCCTGAAAAATACCGAGAATGTACCTGTGGACAGATTACTCTGGGATATAAGACAGCAATTTTCCCTGGGACCCTAACTCTAAAAAGGAACTTTGGTCCCTCTGGAGGTAGCAGAGAAGGCATGATGCTTTCATGTGCTGCCACAGCAGTGATAAGATTCTTTAGAAGTAAACATTCTATGATTCAAAGAACATTCAGGCAAAACAAAGTAAAATGCAGTCATTTGCTGAATTGGAGACAATGTGGAAAAACTAACTCCTGTGACTTAAACAGCAAAGTATTTAAATGCGAGATTAAAAAAGGCTTGAATTGTCATTTAATCTTAGTAAACAATTTATCACATCAAAAGATCTATCCCAAAGACTATGTCTCCAAGTTATCAAAACTATTATTTGAAAAGTTTCAAAAAATTTAGTTGTTTTCACTATATGGCCCTAAATAATTGGTTTTACTTAAAACAAACAAACAAACTTGACTTAATAAATCAGTTGTTATACACTGAAAAGTTCTGTCAGCAAATCATAAAATTTCTAACCTTTTTATATGGTTTATTCATGGTTGATTTAATAGGCAGCTAAATTTATCATGGTGCCCTAGCAATTTATATTGATACAAATGCCACAAGAGTAATTAATATTGGTTAGAATAACTGTCCATGGAAATATTACACAATATCTAAACTGAAAAAAGTGATTTTCAATCTTAAACCTGTGATGTCTGTAGATCTTAATACAATTCTTTCAACAAATGCTTATTGATTATATACTATAGTCCAAGCATTAACGTCGTTATTGGGAATATAAAGATGAGTAAGACAGTCACTGATTTCAATGAGCTCAGAGTTAGGAGCAGAAGATAGACAATTATAATGCAGTAAAGTACAAGATACTTGCTGAAAGTGAAGAAGACTTGAAGCACTTACTGGTGAAGATCAGAGACCACAGCCTTCAGTATGGATTACAACACACATAAAGAAAACAAAAATCCTCACAACTGGACCAATAAGCAACATCATGATAAATGGAGAAAAGATTGAAGTTGTCAAGGATTTCATTTAACTTGGATCCACAATCAACACCCATGGAAGCAGCAGTCAAGAAATCAAAAGATGCACTGCATTGGGCAAATCTGCTGCAAAAGACCTCTTGAAAGTGTTGGAAAGCAAAGATGTCACCTTGAAGACTAAGGTCCGCCTGACACAAGCCACGGTATTTTCAAACGCATCATATGCATGCAAAAGCTGGACAATGAGTAAGGAAGACCGAAGAAGAATTGACTCCTTTGAATTATGGTGCTGGTGAACAATATTGAATATATCATGGACCGCCAAAAGAACAAACAAATCAGTCTTGGAAGAAGTACAACCAGAATGCTCCTTAGAAGGAAGAATGGCCAGACTACGTCTTACATGCTTTGGACATGTTGTCAGGAGGGACCAGTCCCTGGAGAAGGACATCATGCTTGGTAAAGTACAGGGTCAGCGTAAAAGAGGAAGACCCTCAACGAGATGGATGGACACTGGCTGCAATAATGGGCTCAAACATAACAATGATTGTGAGCATGGCGCAGGACAGGGCAGTGCTTCCTTCTGTGGTGCATAGGGTCGCCATGAGTTGGAACCAACTTGAGGGCATCTAACAACAACAACAAAGTACAAGATGTACCATGAACACAGAGAAGGAACACCCAAACTCTTCAGGGAAGGTGAGAGGAGGGTGAAATAGCAAGATTTTGTACATGGTTGATGAGGCTTGAATTGTCATGAAGATGAGTACAAGTGTGCAAGGTATGTTACTAAAAATATTCCAACCCGTTGCCATCAAGTCAACTCCAACTCATAGAGACCCTATAGGACAGAGCAGAACTGCCCATACAGTTTCCAAGGCTGTAATCTTTACAGAAGCAGACTGCCACATCCTTCTCCCACTGAGCAGCTGGTGGGTTCAAATCGCTGACCTTCAGGTTAGTAGCTGAACACTTAACAACTGTGCCATTAGTGCTCCTTACTAATATTTATTGTGCTTAATATGTATTGTTTTAAGTATTCCATGTGTATTTACTTTCAACAGGTCTACAAAGTCATTGCTATCATTATCCCCACTTTACAGATGATGAAACACAGACATAGACGAGTTAAGGCATTTGATCATGAACATGTAATTTGTAAATACTAGAACTAGAAAAGGTTTTATTTATTTTTTTTAAGTTAAAAGCAAATATGTCATACGATAGACAAAAAAGAATAACAACTGATAGTGTAAAAATTAAAGGGTATTAGCAGCAAGATATTTGGGAGTTGTTGCCCTTAATTTTGATTACGTTCTTTGCAATTTTTAGTAGATATGTCTGCAAAATCCTAAGTATATCTGGTAATTCACATTTTGACTGATTTTCATATAAGTTATTTTAATCAAATTGACAAGAAATGCAAATACCTCTTTGTATGAAGACATAATTCTTTCAATAGCATCAGCTCCAGAGGCCAATAAATTTCGAGCAGTGGTAAAGGCTTCTGTCCGTTCACTAACCATAGCCTGTTTCTGGCCATCCTCTAAATCTAAAAGCAAATTACAAAATGAGTTTTTTCAAGTAACTAAACGCTTTCTTTTATACAAACCGAATTGTGGCTAAAACAATCACATATTAACTTTCAATTATTATCAGCAACCTCCTAAAAATATAATGTTATTGCAAATATAGTTTATGTGCCAGGTTTTCTTTAAAGCTTTCTTTTATTAGTTTTCTAGAAGAGTTAGAACAATTAAATCTATAGGAACTGAGACTATTTTCATTTAGCATTTTTTCAAATCTTTCAATATCCAACTTCTTGACTTCATAATATTGTTGGTCTTGGCAATAAAATACTGTACCTTGAGTATAAGCAAACATTGCTGGTGTGGGTGTGGTTTCTTTTTTATTTTTTTATAGTTGTACTTTAAGTAAAAGTTTACAATTCAAGTTAGTCTCTCATACAAAAATTATGTGACCCTAATTGCTCTCCCTATAGTGTGACAGCACACTCCTCCCTTCCACCCTGGATTTCCCATGTCCATTCAACCAGCTCCTGATCCTCTCTGCCTTCTCATCTCACCTCTGGACAGGAACTGCCTATTTAGTCTCATGTATCCACTTGGGCTAAGAAACACACTCTTCACAAGTATCATTTTATGTCCCATAGTCCAGTCTAATCTTTGTCTGAAGAGCTGGCATCAGGAAAGGTTTTAGTTCTGGGTTGACAGAGAGTCCGGGGGGCATGCTTTCTGGGGTTCCTCCAGTCTCAGACCATTAAGTCTGGTCTTTTTACTAGAATTTGAGTTCTGCACCCCACTTTTCTCCTGCTCACTCAAGGACTCTCTGTTGTGTTCCCTGTCAGGGCAGTCATTGGTGGTAGCTGGGCACAATCTAGTTCTTCTGGTCTCAGGCTGATGCAGTCACTGGTTTATTTGGCCCTTTCTGTCTCTTGGGCTAACACTTTCCTTGCAACTTTGGTGTTCTTCATTCTCCTTTACTCCAGGTGGGCTGGGACAAATTGATGCATCTTAGATGGCCACTCACTAGATTTTAAGACCCCAGACGTTGCTTAACAAAGTGGGATGCAGAACATTTTCTTAATAAACTTTGTTACGCCAATTGACCTAGATGTCTCCTGAAACCATGATCCCCAGACCCCTGCCCCTGCTACTCCATCCCTCAAAGTGTTTGGTTGCATTCAGGAAACTTCTCAGCTTTTCGTTTAGTCCAGTTGTGCTGATTTCCCCTGTAGTGTGTGTTGTCCTTCCCTTTGCCTAAGATAATTCTTGTGTACTGTCTAGTTAGTGAATACCCCTCTCCCTCCGTCCCCACCCTTGTGACCATCAAAGAATGTTTTCTTCTGTGTTTAAACCTTTTCTTGAGTTCTTATAACAGTGGTCTCATACAATATTTGCCCTTTTTGCACTGAGTAATCTCAGTCAGCATAATGCCTTCCAGATTCATCCATGTTGTGAGATATTTCACGGACTCATCATTGTTCTTTATCGTTGCGTAGTATTCCATTGTGTGAATATACCATAATTTGTT